TTAGGGTTAGGGTTAGGGTTAGGGTTAGGCAGGGGGACTGAACTGCTATTGGGCTTCATCCTTATGGGATTTTGACCAAAGCTTGTCACAGACATTACATTAGGACACCAGGGAACTAGCTTAACTTGTTGAAATAGGGTATAATATGTCTCCTTTAAAAAGGGTTAGGCTTTTTCAAAAGGCAGAAGGACAGAAAGGTAAATCAGAATCAGAAATACTTTAATAATTTTTTTTGTTACAGGCTCCATAAGTAAAACAAAGGCATATACATATATACATTTCTGTACATATATACATATATATATATACAAAATTCTTCATATGATATAGCTACATATATACATAAAAAACTATATGTGTATATATATAGGTCCCTCCACTCTTTTTTTTTACATTTCTGAAAATATTTTCCTTATTTGCCGACTGTCGCATGTCAATGTTATGCTGAAAGAAGAGGAAAAAAAATAGAATAGTTATTGTTAGGGAACTGGACGAAGCCTGACTGTGTGACCAAAGCTTGTCACGGACATTACATTAGGACACCAGGGAACTAGCTTAACTTGTTGAAATAGGGTATAATATGTCTCCTTTAAAAAGGGTTAGGCTAAGGGTTAGGTAAATCTATACCCGAATCCCCTCCACCCTTTTTTTTTTTACATTTCAGAAAATATTTTTCTCATTTGCCGACTGTTCTTTATTTATTTATTTGTTTATTTGACAGGGACAGTACAATTAAACATTGCAACCAAACAGGTGGCCGATGTCCAGCTACATAAGGCTTGTAGCTTAATGGGCTAATTCAGTGTTTTTCAACCTTTTTTGACCCAAGGTAACTTTTTTTTATTGAAAAAATCACGAGGCACACCACCAACCAAAAATGTCAAACAAATCTGTAGCCGCCTATAGTAACACTATAGTTATTCTTATTTTATTCTTATCTTATCTTAAATGTCTTGAATAGGCATCAAATAAACACAAAAATGTATTTTTATTTTATTTTATATTTCTTCTTTCAAATTGCTCTTAACATGTCCACTTCAATATGCAAAATTATATACAAAATCTAGTCATAAGGAATTATTACATGGTTACTCCACCAGTCACTAGAACAGCACAGACACTCAGAAATGGAATATTATTTGCAGATAATTAATTCCTTATCAAAAAATCTTTTTAGACCAATTAGGTGAAATAGGATGATTTTCTACGGCACACCTGACCATCACTAACAGCACACTAGTGTACCGAGGCACGGTGGTTGAAAAACACTGGGCTAATTTGCAGCCTTCGTCCCTGGTTAGGCTTTTAAAAGGTGTTAGCATTAAGGGGGAGGGAGGTTAGTAACAACACACAGATGCATAAGAAACAAGAGTTAACCTCCTGAGACCCTGTGTCCTCATAAGAGGACGTTGCATTTTTGTCTCTCTTTACCATGATACTTCTTTTTTTCTTTCAGCTTTGACCTCTTGGCCTCATAGCAGATGCTATCAGACACTGTTTGAAATCTAAAGTAAAATGGTTTTATACATTTCCATCCTATCATGTTCTTATTGTGTAATAGAAAATATGTAAATAAGTCAATAAGGGACTGTCAGAACAAAATTGTAAAAACATTTAATTAAATATGTATCTCATATATCTTTAAAAAAAAAGCTAAAATGCATGCCGAATAAAAGCTCGGGTCTCAGGAGGTTAAAACAAAAAAAGAAACGTAAAGTACGAGCCAGTTTAGTGCTCACACCCTTGGTTGTCTTTGAGCCATTTTGTCTGTCTCTTTCAGGTGATCGGGGTGGACGGCAGCAACAGGCAGACTCTTCTGGAGGACAAGCTGCCGCACATCTTCGGCTTCACGCTGCTGGGCGACTACATCTACTGGACGGACTGGCAGAGGCGCAGCATCGAGAGGGTGCACAAACTCACCGCCGTGCGCGAGATCATCATCGACCAGCTGCCCGACCTGATGGGGCTGAAGGCCAGCAAAGTCACGGAGACGCATGGTAAGGGGTTCAGAGCCTTTTTAAAAAAGAATGTCAAACTTTATTTTTCTGTATTAACAATCACAAGGTGTGAAGAGAGGAAAAAACTGAAACAAACACACACACAACATAAACAAATATATACTGTCCGGATTGGGTATGATATGTTCAAATAGTCACTACAATGTAAATAATCCACTTTGTCCATTTTCCCACTCAGGAGTCGATCTTTAGTCTTATTCTGGGGGTCAAGTCCTCCATGACATATTTGTCCTTAACAATTTCCAGCCAGTCCTCTTTGTCCGGGGGTTCTTCTTTGTACCATTTTTTGGTGATTGTTTTTTTACTGGCAGCGATATTGATTTTAAACAGGTACCTGTCAGATGTACACAAAATATTTCCTGAGACATATCCAAGATACAGCAATGTGAATGTTTTGGGTATCTGGTAGCCCAGTATTGAACAATGCACATCATCCCAAAATGTAACCAAACCAGGGCAAAGCCAAAAAACATGTGCACGGTTCACATTCGTCTCCCCACATTTTCGCCAACAGGGTTAGGGGGGTAGATTTATATTTGCTTTTCAGTTTGGGTGTGATAAAGAAACATATAATACATATGTTTAACCTGTCTTCTTCTGAAATATCCATTTCTAACTCTTTTTCCCATTTGTGTTTCACATTTAAGGTGCTCCCTTTACATGCCATGAGTTGTTGATATAAAATAGATACTGTTCTCTTACCCTTCAAGATGTAGGCTCCTTATATGGTTTTAATTACATTGTTTTTAGCCAAAATCTGTGGTTGGGGTTCAGAGCCTTGCCCAAGGACTCTTCCACATGTGGTATAGGAACATGGAGTTGAACCCCTGACCCTCCAATCAGTGGGCAGCAGCTCTTTTCTCCTGAGCCACTACGGTTTCAGCCTGTTTCCAGTTATATATTTAAAGAAATACTCAAGATTCTTTTTTCTGTTCAATTGTAAATAAAACCCCATTGATCTCATGCAGAAGAATCAAATTAATTTAAAATGATATTTCTCATAAGATAGTAAAAATCTTCCCTTCTCATGGTTGATATGTTTTCTATGTTCTACCGTTATTTGTTTGTAAGATTTACAAATCTTTTTAAGGTTTTTATGTGTTTTATGTTCATTTTATGAATTCAAGAATTGGAAGTGTTTCTATTATTTTTATGTGTTTATATAATTTTCTTGTGATGGTCTCCACATTTGTCTGAACATGTGCAGGCGAACATGACGTGTAAATGAAGCATAAAAGGTTAAATATCTTAAAAAGTTGAACAGATTCGAACACCAAAAGCCACAGCTGCATAGTCCTGAGATAGATGAACGTTTCGATACCTTATTTGTTGAAATAGGCTGAAAGGTGTAGGAATAATTAGAGGCAGAAAAACGTACGGAATAAAGAACAAAGAATTGGAAGTGTTTCTATTATTTTTATGTGTTTAGATCATTCTCTTGTGATGGTCACCACATTTGTGAGTGAGTGAAATCAAATATCCCAACTAGGGTTGTCAAAAGTATCGATACTCGAAAAAGTATTGATACTAAAATGTTGTATCCGGATACGATACTCATTTTCAAAAGTATCGATACCACCTTCTCTCTGATTTATTTATGTATTTATTTACGTTGTCTAGCTGCGGCTAATGGCTAATAATAACATGCTACCATTAATCAAGTACATATCCAACTCCGTCCACATCCAAGTCGGCCATTTTGATTAGGTCACCAATAGGAACATCCCAGGCAAGAAAATCCTAATTGCTTCATGGCAATATAGACATTAATCTAAAAATAGTTAAATTAATATTTCAAACACTTAATTAAACTTTATACATATTATGTTAAAATAGTGGATGTTAAATAGGTTTGTACAATAAGTCCAAACAAGTTTAACCAAAAAATATTTATTTATCACAATTATGAAGGCTGGAGGGTTAGGGTTAGGGTTAGGGTCATTAATGCGGGCCACCAGTCACGATAACATCAATAACAGGTCAGTTTGAAATGAAAGACACAATTCAGTTAAATTTGGGGGTCTTTGTTTTTATCCTTGTGGTATCGAAAATGGTATCGAGTATTTTCCTGAGTATCGGTATCGAGTTGAAAATTTTAGTATCGTGACAGCCCTAATCCCATCACCGTTTCCTGCTCTAGGTACGAACGGCTGCGCGGAGCATAACGGCGGCTGCAGCCATCTTTGTTTCTGGAGGAAGCAGGCGGCCATCTGCGCGTGTCCGATGGGCATGGAGCTGCTCTCAGACCTGCAGAGCTGCGTGGTGCCCGAGGCCTTCCTGCTCTTCACCAACAGGTGCTTCACTGTTGCTAGGCAGATTTTTAAATCATACAAATCTGTTTTTTTCTTATACAAAACACCCCCCCCCCCTTTGTCTTCGTATGCAGTTTGCTATGTATAGATTTTATGTTTCACATAATCTGAATAACAATAAAGAATAACAGATATTCAAAACAAGAACTCAAATTGGGCAATTTTTGTCAGTTTTAAAGCCAATTTAAAAAAGTTTTGATTATGTTACCCTGACCTGTTTTCATGGTCCTGATGATCACAGCTTTTATTTCCCAATTTACCAATCTTGTGTGGCAAACTTTACTGTTCGTAGGCAGTTTTTTTAATCATACAAATCAGTTTTTTTATCATACAAATCAGTTTTTTTATCATACAAATCATCCCCCCC